TGAATTAAATAAATTTTTAAATGCTTAATTAATATTTAATTAAATTAAAATTCAAAATTTTTCTTAAATTTATAAAATTTATTTTTAAATTATTTTAAATATTATAAAACTTTTAATATTTAATTTAATAATTATTTTTAAAATTATTTTAAATACCTTTTAATTATTTTAAATTTTAAAAGTCCCAAAAAATAAGGCATTTCAAATATTAAAATCCCTTGGGAGACATTTTTTCATTTGGATACCCTTCTGAAGGAAGAACCATATGAATAACAAGGGAAGGCAATCGAGAGAAGGACTGAAAGATGAAAATCAAGACGAATTATAAATACATTGTTTTTAAAACATGCGTCATTTTATATGATTAGAATGCATAATATTGTCGGAGGTGGCTCGCCACCATTTCTTGGTCTATACTTTATATGGCACTTGTCATGGACTTTCTTTTACTATGGTGGATATGATTACGTTGTTTGCGTAATAAAAATTGATTGTTTTTCATAGGGTTCTTTCTTGCATGTGTTTGCGCCTGATTTTATTAGGTTCTTTAGGGATAAAAAATTTTCTTCTCGTAATTAAAATTCAAAATTTTAAGGATTAAATAAAATAGAAAGCTAACGATCTAGGGAATAGCCAAAGATCGTCCTCGATCACATGCATATTAATGCATATTCTCTTTCCTTACTTTAAGACACTTCTCTGCTTGTGAGTAGAGTTCATATATTCCAATATATAGGGATGAGGTGCTGAATCTTGAGAAGCCTAGTCTTCTAATAAATTATTTTAAAGCATTTTTAAAGTTTCTAACATTCATAATTTGAATATCTTTTAACTAGCATGTATTGCATTAGAAACTAATTAAAATCAAAATTTAATTATATTAGTTCTATGAGCATACTACTCTACATAAGTACAAGACACTTAGGAATCTCTTTAGATGTCGGTCTTAATTTCTAAAAACTCAGCCATCGACACATCTTTCATAAAAGGTCAAACGTACAACATGGATTTTATACAACTATGTGGTTAGTTGGATTTCTTTTTTAGGCATGATATAAGTCTAGAATACATTAGCTAGGACACTGGTGTTAATGCTATGTGCATAACTCTAATATCACTCTAGATTTTGGGCTTAAGGTTACTACTATCGGTGTCTCGTAATCTGCCTCATCGATGGATAAGTCCTATATCCTTCAGAGACTATAAATACTGCTTATCCGCGTCACATGGATGATGTCACCTCCATCCTCCTCTCATGTGTGGTCTGAGTGTATTGTTAATTTTTTTCTCTAGTTTTTTTTTTTTTTTTCTGATTACCTTAGTCTATCTGGATGATAATATGAGCCATGTATGATAACTAAGCAAAGTTGAACCATTCCTTTCCTTTGAGTAAGAACTTCATAGTCTCCTCCCTATATGTCAATCCCATTTGAGCGAATAATGCAGTATCCTTAATCGAGAGTCTTCTTAGACCCTGACTTAAGATATAATTAACAACAAGGGTTTGCGCCAGTGGGAAATTGAATCTCACATCAAGTAAACTCCACTCGAGCTGATGTATTAGGTGGGGGAAATCTCGTAACTTTGATCAAGTCATGCATATTATTACTCATTGAGGTGCGTCAGCGAGAACCGTTATCCTCAATAGTTAATCGTATGTTTGATCTAATCTGCTCTCCCATTGGCTCGCTTGCGAAGAGTGAAAAGGTCTGTGATCGTTTCGTCCCTTGGGATGACACAATCATACCATTTATTTTTTTTTCTGCCGAGCGGTGACCTTTCGGAGGACCACACATGTAACTATGATGAATTGAGACCTAACATCTCCAATCATATTTAATAATTCAAATAATAATAACGATAACATTAACTTACCCTTTGTTAAATGATATCATATAATGAGGGAATGAGGAAGAAGGCTCAAATTTGCTCCAAGAGAAAGAAAGAAATAAAAAGGGAATCCTTCCCTAAAAATGGCTTCAAATTTGGGAAACCATCCCGTGGAAGAGAGAAAAGAGGGGAGAGGGAAAGAGAGAGAGAGATTGAACTCACTATCAAAGGAAAAAATTGTTGTAGGTGGATGTTGCAAGAAAGAAGTGAAGAGGGAGGATTTCGACAGATGCTACAAGGAAGAAAATAGAAGAATAAGCTATGCCCTAGCTTCCTATTTTGTTTAAATGGCGAGAGGGAAGGATGGGAACGGGAAAAATAAAAAAAGGTGGGAAAATGAGGGATTTAAAGGTTATTGAAAGGAAGAAGGGGTACTTAAAGATACATAGTATGATTTTTGAGGCAGACATCACATCCACTATAAGGGCACATCAATATAAAAAAATTAAACCAAATCTTTTTTTTTAATCATTAGAGTCAAATAAAATTACTTCTATTTCCCAAGCCTAAAAGAGTTGGCGAGTCAAAAGAGATAGAAAGGTAAGTAATATAAATTAAAACTTGGCTCGCCCCCATGTGTACCCACTCTGGATGCCTAAAGAAGTGTGTGAGTGATCTCAATGTCATCTCTTAAGCCATGAACTTTCTAGAGAATGGTGTCACATACTTCATCAAGAGTTATGAAAGAAACTCCTCCAAGAGAACTATTCTCTTGTCTCCTTAGGATTAGCAATAGCCAAGGTGAGTTAATCCTTGAGGGTGTGTACAAGATCTAGTGTCAGGGCTAGAGGCCTTTTTTTTTTTTTTAAACTCTCCAATCTCATCCCTTCAACCTTCTTGAAGCCAATGTGTTGGAATTATATGTCATTGGAGGAGCAAGGGAGTAGGCCTTAATATGATATTCTAATGAAACAGGGGTAGTAGTAAGCTCTATATTAACTAAACTACTTACTTTAATAATTGTGGTGACCTTTCCTATTAGTGTAAACTCTCTTGTGACCTAAAAAGCAGGTCCATTGTCTTGACGCTCATGTCTTCTCGTTGATGTCTTGTCAGTAGTGTTTAATGGAACATTATGAAAAAGAAATTTTGAACACTGGAAGTTGAGAGCCACCGACGATGAGTGATGATAACAACAAATGTGACGGGAGGAAGTCAGCAACGCCTTGCTATTGCAAGTAACGAAGAATTTATGATTTAATTGAAAATTAAGATCACCAAATTTTAAAATATGCAAAAAAAGAAAATGCGGATGAATTTAAAATTCTGCAATAAATTATATTTAATTTAAATTCATCCTATTAAAGAACTAAATTCTCAAAATAAATGTATTTATATTTTAAACAGAAAATCAAAATGACAGGTGTATTTTATAAAATTTGAAAGCAATCTCAATTTATGCGCCATCCTGACACGATTGGCCCAAATCCAATGGGAAACATGGTTCCATGTCTGGTTTGGTTTTACCGTCTGATTGGTCTGAAAGTTCGTAGGCAAAGTTTTTTTATTTTTTATTTTTCATTTTTGGCTAGTAATTATTAAATTAATATTGCTTGCTGGTGGAGTGGTGGTCTCTTTAAGAAAATGATAATTAAATATACTAAATAGAAAATATAAATGAAATTCCAGCTCACCGATCCTGCGATCCACAATCTTTCTAATATCAGCCATTAGATCCAAGTCACAAAATCCCAGGCGAATCTGACCGTAGAAACTGAAATCCTTAGTCTTCTGTACTCTTTAGCATTTCTCTCCCTGCTGTTCTCTTTCTATCCAGATTTCGATCTTTTCGTCATGGTCGCCGTCGCTGCATCCCCGACACCTGGCGCCGCCGCTGGTTCCCCTTTTGCCACTAGGTCGCACGACCACCCGCCTTACAAAGATGTAAGCTATCCATGACTCCCTCCTCTCCTACTTGCTATTCTCGTAACTCTTCTTGTATGCCTCGGACAGATGGTATTGAGCGCCCTCGAGGCTCTTAACGGTCGCAATGGATCGAGCCGGCATGCCATATCCAAGTATATCTCCGACAATTATCCCGATCTCCCCCCAACCCACTCCTCCTTACTCAGTCACCATCTCCGCCGCCTCCAATCCAATGGTGTTATTCGAATGTTTAAGCATTCTTACAAGCTCGCAGATCCACCCGCTGCCGAAGACAGCGGCGCGGCTGTTGGATCCAAGAAACGCGGCCGCCCTCGCAAAATTGTTTCGGCCCCTTCTTCTGTTCTTGATAAAGCGCCCAAAAAGCGTGGTCGTCCTCCAAAATTGGGTGCCGATTCTCAACCGGCTAAGAAAATAAAACCAGACCGGCTACCTACGTCGAAAACACCAGCCGTGGTTGATCCTGCTGCTGTATATATTCTTCCTCAGGCTGAGCAACTCAAGTCTGGATTTCTGCAGAGTTTACCGGGTGCAGTAGCCATTGTTCTTCCAGTGGGTCTTTTGAGCAAGAAGACTGCCAAAAGTCCCGTTCTCATTTTGCCAAATGGTGTTCAGTCTCTGGTTGATGCTTCAGCCGGGAGGAAGAAGCTGGGAAGACCAAAAAAGATTGAAGTCAAGAAGAAACCTGATCAGCCAAAAGTGGTCGAGAAAAGGCCATCTGGGCTGCCGAGAAGGAAATCCATGCTACCGAAGCAAGTGCTACTTCATAATGGAGGTACAACTGTCAGCCATGTAAATATTGGTGAAAAGAAGCTTGGCCGACCACGGAAGATCAGGGACTCTGTGCTGCCTGAGAATGGGCAGCTGCAATCATTCGTCCCAGACAAGTTGGCCATCACTGAAACAGAACAAGAGATATTGGAGGAGACTGGGAACTCATCAAAGCCCGAAAGTTTCCATGCTGTGCAGAATATTCCTTCTCTAGAGTTAAAGAAAAGGCCACTTGGACGACCCAAGAAAAATACAATTGTTGAAGGTCCAAAATCTCCTCGCACTACTTCCCTTGCTACTTAAGACATTAACCCTCTGTATCAGTTGTGTTTTTTCTGTTCTTTCTCTTGAATCCTTTATTTTTAGTATGTATGTGATGAATAGTGGCCTATCGACTTGTTGCTGTATTGGTAGTTAGTTGTTTCTGCATGAATGATATGCTTAATACATTTAGGGTTTTGCTTGATGACTGAAAGCTACAGGAATCTTTTTTTTTTCCTCCTTACTCAAGATCAAAATTGACCTCTTTAGCCAGACCCAACCTTCTCAAAATTGTTCATTTGTGGTTTCAGGCAACCTGCTATAAGTCATCAAGCAATCATTTCTGCTGCCATTTTAATCTTTTTGGTAATCAATTTCTTTTTTTCAAATGTCAGATTCTTTGATTATTTCCTATTTGATTGTTAATAGGAATTTCATTTTCTACAATCAATTTTTATTTTTCAGCATTTTAGTTTTTTGCTCCCTTTCACCAAACAGCTAAACAACCGACCAAACAACAAAACAAATAACCAAAGTGCACTTCAGATATCCAAAGCCCATAGCGCAGGAAAACTCCATCCATAAGAGCATAAATGATGCAATTATAGACTTATAGTGCAGTTGTTACTTGTGAGCTAGGCAAGCTATTTGATCTCTAATGGCTCCAAAGTAGGCAATATCGGAGGCTTGGGAGGGACTGGGCATGTTCCAATTCCTATTAGTGATAATGGAGCTTTTTTTTGGTTTCAATTGTTAATTTGAAGTGGGAGTGAGCTTGAGGCCCATCTAATTTCCTTTGACATGTGAGATAGAACTTGATTAGATGCCCATATAGAAGTTCCACCATCAAGTTATCTCTAGTTTGCTCAAGGTCATGTATTTTTGTCAGATAAATTAAACAAAGATTTTAACTATACTAACCTTATATCATGACTAAATACTACTGAAATTTTATTAAATACTTAATTTAATTTATATTTAGTTATTAATTAATTATACTTTTTAAATATCACAATTAAATACAAATATGATCTTAATATAAATCTAAATTTTTGTTTGCGCAGATTTTCAAGTAAATAATTAACAATTAAGTGCTATAGTTACTCCAAAAAAAAAGTATCATATATAGACATACTAACAAATTCTTATATATTTAGTTATTTACATATTTGGAATCTAAATCTTTAAATTTATTTATATAACATTATCTCATAAACAGCACCAGCTCTTTTATTTTTGTTTACTGCAATCACCTTTGTTTACAACGCTTTTGTTTTTAGCTAATAGTTATTGTTTAGTTAAATGACAACATATGTTAAAATTATAAAGGGATTTTTACATACCTAATACTTAAAACTACTATATTTACCTATCTAACACCCAAATTTTACTATTTACTATTCTACCACCTAAAAACCCTTACCCTCATAAAAAATAGTACTTTGTTTGCCTCCCGTCAAACCCAAACCCGAAAGAGCACAAGAATCACCTCTCCTCTTCCTTGTTACTGGAGGAGCTCCCTCTCTCGCATTTGAATCCCACGATCGTCTTCTCCAGCCCATGCGAAGACATCCCAATCGAGCGATCGACTATAGTGCGAATGTCCGAATCCCACGTTGCCCATCTTCTCTCTTTTCCGAATTTCATGATGCTCATCTTCTCCACCCGTGTGAACACATCGCCACCATTGCAAAATTCTTCTCATCGGTTCATTCCTTCACTTTAGATATATTTTTTTTCATTTAATATTCTATTATGTATTATTCCCATCGACTATTTTTGTTGTTGCTATCGTCGAGATTGGATAACCTTAATAGAACAAGAGATTACCCAATCATGTAGAGCTTCAGTTCTATATAATTAGTGAGAACATAAAGAATATGTGTAACTTATGAACATGATATAGATTGTTTACATGCTTGGTTATTCTAATTAGATGAAATTTATTTCGTTAAAAGTGTTTTCCAGTGAAGGGCCAAAGCACGATGAAATATGTTGGAGGAAGTAAAAAAAATTTGAATTTTGAGAGAGGTGATATTAATTTGTTATTATTGAAAGAACAAACTGAAGCACTTTGCTAGTGGCTTAGAGGTCATGCATACGACATACACTATCATTTTAATGGAACATCGCCTAAAATTTACTTGTTGATTACTAATGATACATATGTAATGGACATGCTTATAGGTTCCTGTGATGGCAATAGATTGGAGGTGGTGGTTGTAGTGAAAGATCCTGAAGAAGACATGGGTTATGGACAATGTTTAAAATTGTGTAATCGGGTATTGAGGTGTTTTTTGTTTGTGAGGTGAGGCATAAGCCTCAAAATCAAAAGATTGCATAAAATAAAATGATAAATTTTTTATATACTAATGAATAAAAAATATAAAATATGAAAAGGCACAAGATATGAAGTGAAATCAAAATAATAAGACAGTATGAAATATAGTTCAACTCAAATTCTATCTTTCCCAAATCACAGTATTCTTTTCATTAACATATAATTTCAAAAATAAATAACAATGACATATCACATAATGAAAGTTTGTTAGGGATGTTAAGCCCTATGAACTAGTCCCGAGGCTAACCAAGAGGGGGGGGGGGTGAATTGGTATTTTAAAATTCTTTAAAAACAAAAGAACGATTATCACAAACCAAAATCACCACGGAAAAACAAATGCAGAAAATTAAAGTGCGGAAGCAGTAAAAAGAACACAAGGGTTTATAGTGGTTCGGCAACTTGACTTACGTCCACTCCCCGGAGGCGCCCACCGAATATTGCACTACTAATGTGACTCTCCTTTAGCCCAACAGCTAGGCGGAGAAGCCTTCACAAAAAGACATCCTTTTTGCCACACCCGGCAAGGCAGATAACCCAACTCCTTTTGCTTCCTCTTGAAGTAGGCAGAGGACCACGATCACTTGCTGAAGCTTACTTCTCCCAACCATTCCAAGGACAAGAATCTCTAGGGAAGAAGAAGTGGAACAATGATTGGAGCAACCATTGTGAACTCTCTCACAAGCTCCTCCTCACAAGATCCTCTCTCTTTCTCTCTCCCTCTCTCTCTCTCTCTCCTTTAAGTTTTCTCAGGTCAAGACAGCAGTCAAGGATGTTAAAAAATATTGAACAAGAGCTCTTAAATAGAAGAGCTTCAAAGGGGCTCATTAATTGCAAGTTGCCAACTTTATCGTCCAGGACGATATGGAAATCGTCCTGGCCGATTAGTACAAATCTCATAAGATCGGCCAGAGCATCGCCCTGAATGCAAACTGGACGATTGAAAATTTGCTTGATCGTCCCGGACGATATCATGATCGTCCTGGCCGATCAGTTTAAATCAGAGGAAAATCGTCCAGAGCATCGCCTTGTATTTGATATGGCCAATATTTATCGTCCAGAAGCAACTAAGGGTTTTTGAATAGATCGTCCTGGCCGATCCTGCGATCGTCTAGGACGATGTGATTGTATCAATCATCCTTAATTACTTTCTTGACTCCTGGATCAATTTAGGCATAATTGTGTGATATCGTCCAGGACGATCTCATGATCGTCCTGGCCGATTTTCAAAAATATAGAATACTTAAATTGATTATGGTGGCAAATTGTTTATGTATTGAGCATATCGTCCTGGCCGATCGGTTAATTACGGCTGTCTTAACTAAGAAATCCTGATTAGATCTTCTGTTTTGAACTCGATCGTCCAGGATGATATAAAATATCGTTCGGGACGATGTGAGTAAAAACACAAATTCTAAATCTCTCAAGTGTGTGTGTAGAGTTACTTAATATCAGTCACTTCAAGCAATTACAATTGACTCAAAAAAGAAAAAAAGAAAATTACAGACTGACTAAATCCTAATCTACCCAGTCTTGAGCAGATTCCGATTTTTGTCCGATCTTTGAGTCCTGAAAAGTCAGTAGAAAAAAGGTAGTCGTAGTAAAAAAAGATTTGTTTGCTATCATCAAAATCATAATCTAAAAAACATGTTTGTAACAATCTCTCCCTTTTTGATGATGGCAAACATATCGATAATCAATTCTAAAACAATAATGCAAAACTAAACAAGCTTTCAAAATTTTCGAATAGAACAAGTACAAACATACTACAAGAGCAAGTACAAACATACTACTCCCCCTTTTGACATCTTTAAAAAAGGAGGAAACTAAAAACACAAACTAAAGCAATTAAAAACACAATACAAAAAAAGAAAGCAATCCACAGAAAACAGAAACTAAAACTACATAAACGAGGGATCCTGATCATCAGATGGAGGTGGAGGTGGTGGAGCCTTCTGAAAGTAGCTAGCTAGCGTAGTAAACTGAGCATTGAACCAGGTTATGTCCTGGTCGTGCTGCTGCTGCTGGTGAGTAATGTAGCTGTCAAAATGGGCTAAGTCCTCTGTGCGGTGCTGCTCGTAGCGGGCAATGTCCTCAGAATGTTGCTGCTCCTGTGCAGCAACGTAAGCGTCGAAACGGGTCTCACAACGATCAAATCTCTCCACTAACTGGTCAAACTGTGAGTGCTTACGAAGAGGAGTAGGATCAGGAACGGGAGCGGGAACCTCCTCGTCCTCGGCCCCCTGAGGTTCCCCATCCCCTGGGTGGAGACGAGTACTGTGAAGGATATTGAAAGAGCTGTTTGAGTAGCAAGGAGGCTGAAGGTCGTGACGAGCAAGATATTGAAGATTGTATTTGGTTTCAAGAATATAGGCTATGATATGTCCTAAAGCAAGGTTGGGTTTCCTCCTATGGCCTGGATCGTGAATAGTTGTTAAATGATCAATATATCTAAAAATCAAGTTAGTAGCATTAAACTCTATTCGGGCCATGATGAAAAAGGTAGTCAGAGAAAGCAGAGTGATGTGGACTCGGTCTCCGGCTTTTTGAATAATGGAGGTGTGAACTGTGAAGGACATGCTGAATTGTTCTAGCATCTTTGACTAAAGAGCTAGTTTGTCCAACATGAAAGGATGTGTTGGTCTGATGAAGAAAATGATTTGTCGTGGACCAGTCACAATCAAGATCTGAGACAATTATATGCAGCTTATCCCCGGTGGTGGATAGCTGCAATAGTTCAGCACAGTCCTGATATATGATCTCGACCGGGCTTTGATTCACATAGGAGGTCAGTGCTATGAAAGTAGAATTTATACGAAGATTTGCATAAAATTCTAACAAAAATTTTGAGTAAAAATGGACAGCGAG